TTTGGAGGGATCTTTGGAGGATTTTAACTGGTCAAAAGCAGAGTTTTCCATGTTAAGGATTTTAATTTATGTGTTTGTTACAGGGTCTCACTTTGCAGCTTAGACTCATCCTCCTATTTCAGCCTCCCCAGTGTGGCGGGCCTGGCACTCCATGCAGAAGAGAAGGAGTCACCTTTTACATCACCTGAATCTCAGAAGTAGGCACTTCCTGCGAGTCTTACCTGCAACATGGCCCTCACTGACCCCTGCAGCCGATGCTGCATGTCTGAGATGAGCGCTCTCAGTGACTGGGCCTCCTGGGCCAGGTGCTTTTCAGACTCGGCCTCAGAACATCTTCCTTCTCTTTCTTCAGTTTTCTCAGGTGCTCTTTCTCCTCAGAGTCCAGGATGTTTCTCATTTTCTTAAACTCAGCCTGGACACCTTCTATCTCCTTCTATATTTGCTTCTTCAGGGATAAGAAAGAGACAGGCACTTGGTCACATGATCTTTCCAGCGAGAAAAAAGTCCCTTTTTTCACAGGGAAGTTCACAGGGGAAGGGAAGTGGACAGGAGCAGCTCTTTGGGAAGCAGAGCATTCCTGTGATTTTTTTTTCCCTTCCTGCCATTAAAATCTATGACATTCAGGCAACATTCTCAAGCTCTCCCTGACCCCAGTGGACACCCACACCTCCCAGCTAATCACAATCCCACCCATTTCCCTGCTTTACTCCTTGTTCCTCTTGTGCACTCCCTACTAGAACTGGAATACAGAAGGCAGAAGCAAGACTTATTGTCAAGTGTCAGGCTCAATAAAATCCATCTCAAATACCAGCAAGCCCAGCAGCATGGCATTCCCTAGCTACTTTTCCTGCAGGCCCCTCCCAAACACCTCCCTGCCAGCACCACACACATGAGGGACAATCACTCTACAGACTGCACTCCCCAAGGAAAAGCATGCACAGGATTCATCAAATGATGTGAGGACTGCATAAGGACCATAGGATAAAGAGGGCACTTCCTCCCCAGGGCCCTGCCCCGGGGTTTCTCGATAACACCCCTAAGAATTTCAATTTCCTGCCTGACAGGAAGTTTGTTCTCCTTCAGTGTGAGCTTTCCAGTTCTCAACCTTTTTCTCATCCTTCATAAGCTTCTTTTTTTTTTTTTTTTTGTGGTACCAGGAATTGAACTGAGGACTCTGCACTTGCCAAGTAGGTGTTTATTCTACTGAGCTTTCTTCCCAGCCCCTTCATCAGCCTCTTAAGTGCTCTGTGCAGCTTCTCCTGTGAGAAAAGAATCACACCAGAGTCAAGCCTTGAGCTCCTCAGCACCCGGAGAGTGGATAAATGTGGATGAAACCGTTGTGATCTCACCTGAACCTTAGTTTACTGAAAATGAAAAAGAGCTGAAGAGAAAAACACCAGAGAGGAAAGGAGTGCCCTTTTATGTCACTAGGGAATTCTTCTTTAAGTAGTAATCCAAGGCCCTTCACCAAGTGTAGACTGATTTTTTCCATCCAAGAGAAAACTGAGTCTACATCAAAGGGAGAACTTGCGTCTGAATCATTCTTATTTATTCTTTTATGGAAATAGGTAATCAGAGCTTCTCTTGGGCACCAAATCTCTACCCATCTACTGCAATTTACATGAGTTTTTGCTTCTGTCTAGGAAATTTTACTCTAAGTTTATTCTATTGCAGTCCACTAGAGCTCAGAAAACATACGTTGGGCTGTAGAAGATAAGCAAAAAATGGATAGAAATCACAGACCTGAGTTCTATGGTGGGAAACTAATAAACTATAGTGCTCGGGGAAGTTTTCCAACAGGTATTGTTTTCTAGTCTACCTTCCCACAGCTCTGATCTTTTACCTGACACTCCTATGCCACCTCCTCCATAAGAACTTTGCAGTGCCCACGACGCTTCTGAGAATGTTCACAAAGACAGCAAATGACTGTCCCAACCTCCTTACAGAACAGCCAGAGTTCATACCCATGGAGGTCACACAGGTCTGCCTTTGGGGTTAGAACCTGCCCCCTATCTTGGCCACATGTCAACTGGGCCTCAGGTTTTCAAACTGGAACATGACTCAACACACAGGGCAGTGGCCCATTCCTTCTTCATGTTCCCTGGCCTCATAGCTTGAGGTGATGTAGAGTTTGCAGAAATTGTGGCCACAGTAGGTGCTGACAGGTTCTGTCATGAGCTCCAAGCAGATGGGGTGGAGATTGTCTCCTCCTTGACAATCTCTAGTGTTGACAAAGCCATAGGAGCTCTTTCCCTGCTCTTGTCTGTTCAGACTCTGAGGTTTCTCCTGCTGTGGATCCTGAAGTTGGGAAAATCAAAGTAGGGCAGGGGAAGAAATGCAAGAATTGGGGCTTGCCCAGTAGCTCAGTTGTTTAAAGCACCCCCTTTGCAATTCCATGAGGCCTACATGACCAGTATTTGATCCCCAGCTCCATAGGCAGCACTGGATCTGCCCTTAGGGCAGCCTGAGCTAGCAAAAAAAAAAAAAAGAAATGCAAGAATAGAAAGAATAAATAGTGACTAGGCAAAATCACAGAGACATCAAGACCACACTATTAAATGTGTGGACAAAAAGAAAAAAAGGAGTCAAAGACACAAAGGAGTTTACTGATTTCCTATTTATCATGTCATCATAATTTCAGGCACTTTACTCTCAGTTCATATCATATGATAAAATTTATGTACGGAATGATTTTTATTTTCCCTTCCTTACTGACCCAAGAACAAATGAAGTCATTTTCTCCCAGAATTCTTGTATAGTCCTTACTTTATCTCCCCCACCAAAATCACATGATCAATGTTAAAACCAGCCTTAAGTCCTTATATTATAGGACCATACATTTGCTGTCAATGTGCTACCACTCTTATACTTCCTGTACAGGTTATGATTTCAGACAGCTGTTCTGACTTCCTCATCTGTACAATCCCACAGCTTGTTATTCAAATGCAGTTAGTTGTTTTTAACAGTAAGACAAGATAAAGTTAATCCTTTTTGTGTGTGTGTTTGCAGGTTCTCACTATGAAGTTTGAACTCACAGTGATCTCCTGTTTTCAGCCTCTCCAGCACAAGTTAATCCTTTTATTAGGTATATTAAACAGACTATACTAAAAGAACCCCAAAGACAATATAGTTGGACCTTTGTTTATGACCTTCATTCTTTCCATGATTCTGATTGCAAACTGATTCAGACAAGAACAGAATTTTCAACAGTTAGCATCAGTGTTGAACTTAGGGGGAAAAATCTGCATAGCTTCTCATCCAGTTCAATTTGCAGCCCGAATCATGGAGAGAACTGAGTTTGTGAAACAAGGCACCATTGGGTGCTTTCATGACTTTGAGCTGGAATTAACCCATTGCATTCCATTCACCTTCAGAACACTCTCCTCTATGGCACAGAATAAACCAAGAGGTAACTATAGAAGTGGAACAACACTCCGAGCAGTGTGGTTATACAAGTAAGCTTCTGAGTACTAGCTGGCTCTAGCATGATTGTAAATGCTAGGATTTTGTCTTGGCCTTGAAATTTACCAAGGACAAGGAAAGTAGCCTAAAACTCAATATGCATATGTCTGCCTCACACAGAAGTGACATAAATATAATTTCAGCATCTCACATGGTAGAGATATGAAACACATAATCACGGAGAAATTGGTGTTGGATTTTTAGAGAAAATCCCTAAATATTAGACATAATAACTTGGCAGATTATTATTGAGGCTGGATTATGTCCTAGCAGCTTGACTTAAATCTGAAAAGAAAGATGCTGCCAAACAGAGGCCAAACGCGGCTTAAACCTATATGATGGACTTGGCACTCACTTCAAAATCATGAATTAAATAATCAGAAAGTTCAGAGGTGACAAACATCAGAGAAAATGTACCTAGTATAGCAAATTTAAATGATGGGACAAAATTGTTAACCTATAATTCCAATCAAAAAATACAAGGCTTTAATAGAAGCCTGAAAAACATGAAGGAAATATGGGTTTAAAAGAGATAAATGTGAGGCTGGTGAGATGGCTCAGTGGTCTAAAACACCTACTTAGAACAAGATTAGCAAAGCACATGGACTGCGGTTCAGTCCCCCCAGCACCACATGCCAGCCAGCCCCACCCCCAGGCAGGCTGAGCTGGCCACACATACACACACAAAAATAAATAAATAAAATAAATAAATTTTAGAAAAAGAGAGAGACAAATGTTGGGGTTAGGGAGAAAGCTCAGTGGCATAAGCTCCTGTTGGCAAGCACAAGGTCCCAAGTTCAATCCCCAGTACTGCAAAAAAAATAAATAAATAAATAGAAACAAATGTGTAAAGTGGAAGAAATTACAGTGATAAATAGCCAGTTCAAACAGACAAAGCATCTTCAAAAGTTTTGAAGATGCCAACAAGGCTACTCTGCCAAGAGCTGCTAGCTTCTGCATGTCACATGAGCTAACAGGGAAGGAAAAGCATGTCCTCTCTAAAGTGCCAAAAAATGTAGGTACTCTTCCTTAAGAACATAGAGAAATTCCCCGTGGCAGTCCTCACTGGAAATATTCTACTTCTCGGCCAACAGTCTGTATGTAGTCAGCCCAAACATCATG